ACCTAATTATACCGCATTGCTCTCAGCCATTGGTGGAGAGGCTCTAATGAAAACTGCCGTTTATTTTGGAGCACATGTTTAGATTTATATCGTGCTCTATTGCGAGCGCGTATTTGTTTGCTGCTTACTGGACGTAAAAAAAACACCGCAGTGAAACGTCTTTCGGCTCTACTTATTGATAGCATTGCTTAGAACACATTTCAGGGTTGTATCAGCACCTGAAATTGTAATAAAGTGTGAAGTAGTTGGGCCTGTTGACAGCTTCGCTTATCTTAGGAGTCTTATTAGTACTGATAGCCTGTTGTGTGACGAAATCTCAGCACGGATACGAGAGGATTGATTGGCTTTTGGCAACTTGCATCACTTATGGCGTAGGAGAGTTGTCCGTCTGATATCCAATGAACGAGTCTACTGCGCAGTAGTTCGCTCCATACATCCTTTCGGGTGTGAAACATGGCGAGTATGAATGGAAGATGTTCGTAGCTGGTTAGCGTTCGATCATAGATGTCTTAGAAGCATTGTTCGTTTATCCTGGGACAATTGAGTAAGCAATGCTGTTGTTAGAATGGTATTAGGTAAGGATGACAGATCAGTTGATGGAGTAGTGAAGCCAAATTAGTTGATGTGGTTGAGAAATGTGTTACGAAGGCCGAACCGTTGACTGCCTTGACGAGCGGTGTTTTGTGGCGTGGACGTAAGTTGGAAGAAAGCTAGGGGCAACCAGACCAAAACGTGGCTATACAATACAAATCTAAGAGAATTAGAAAAACTGGAGTTGTGTGAGCCGAACTCATTCGGCTGTGTTTATAATAGACAAAATAACAGAATGAAAATGAAAGATCAAATTCTTTGGTTACCAAGACAGATAAAGGTTAACCACTGGCTCTGTGTGAATACAAAGGCCAGATTTAAGCCTCCTGGTTGCTATGGTTTTTGCAAACTTTAATAACATAAAATCCGTTTGCTTATTGATTATTTTCATCGCGTCCATTTTGTCTCTCGATTCTATTAGAAAATCTGTAAATCGTCGCCTCTCTGTCCTTCTAGTGTATATAATCCTGCAAGTACATGAAAATTAATATAAGGAGTTTGAGGTGACATCTAGGGGATATTTGTGTATGTTCATTCTTGTTATTAAACATCGCGCTGTGTACAGTGGAACAATTTAGCAGTATGAAGTGTTTTTCTTAAAGCTCCTTTAAGTCTGGCTGATTTAATTCATGATTACATTACCTTATAGTGTCGATTTCGTAAAATTAGAACACATACAAGCGGACAATATTGTTTTCGATTAGATCGTCATTAGGCTTTACTCTAATATACATGAATATTTATATGAAAATGTTAAACCAATCAAGGCAATTTAAGAGTCAATAATCACAATGAAATGAAATAGATTACGTCACTACACATAATAGGTGGAAAAGTACAAGTTGATAGTAGGAAGACAGGTGTACTGATAGTAGTTTTGTAATGATTATTTCAAGTCTATTTATCCTTATTTGACCTACTATTGATAAAAATTTTGTTATCGTTTTTATAATTTGCTTACTTATATGTGTTGTTCTAATTTTCACAATGAGAATCTTTAATTTCATAAAAGTAAGTTTTTTACTGGTTTGTAAAGCTCCATCTTACAACAATATTCAGTGCCATATTTCTCTAAAAGTGCTTAGGGGTGGTCTAGAAGACACTACTATTGCATACTTTTCTGGTCGGCATATCTTTTTAACTCAGTGGTGGAGCACTCTCATCAACCTATATTTAGAACTTACATAGAGAAATCTATGAAAATTAGGGTATTGCTCATTCTACGTCTTTCTAGCGTACATATCTTCAACTTAGATCTAGGAAACGCAACTTATTCTTATTGGTTTTAGGGATAGACTTTGTTGAAAGCTTCAAGTATCTTGTGGTTGCACAGCACGAAAATATCATCAGTTTGCTTTACATAAAATTCTGGCCTGTTGATAAAAGACAAATTTGGTCTAAAGGTTTTCGCGTAACCACACAGCCTGCTTAACAGCATAATTTGTGAATAAATTGCAACTGGACATTTTTGTGCATCAGCGAATCTGGGATATGGACATGTGTCACCAATCCTGACCAATAAAATCAATCGTTTCTTCCAAAGGGATATTGGTAAAATAGTAAACATATGCCATAAGAAACCGTACGTTTTATAGGATATAATATATATATAAATATATATATATATATATATATATATATATATATATATGTCTGACTAATTTTACATATTCAAACGTACCATTTATACTGTACACGACCAATTACTTACTGATTGGTTCCATTTTGTTGGCTTACTACTGAGATAGTTTAGGACAATAAAAAGTGATTATAGAAACAATTCGTCTCATTGGTATTCAAGGTTTGTCCATACATAGATGGTAGGTGTCAAACAGTTGGTCTGAGTTCATTATTTGTAACAATATTAATTATCTTCTAATTTGTGAGGTTTCTAAGTTGTTTAATTGCTTGATTTTCTTAATGCTGCAGTTTCATCTTTGCTTATATTTTCAGTTTGAACTCTACTCAAATCCTCTAAAAAAAACATTATCATTTTCTGTATAATAGTCAAATTTATTCCTCAATACAATTTCGCATCGTTTATCTGGTTTTAGTACTAATAAATTACAGTCGGTTCATACTTTCTATCAAGGCATCATAATGTGATTTTGTCGTGATTTTGAATTAAATTGATGAAGCAGTGTGAAGTTAGTTAGAAATATGAATCACCACTTCTAACGCTTATAAAAGTCCGTTAGCACTTAACTCTGAAATACATTTACAATTTGCATTACACATTCTATATACAGCTTGATACTTATTAATAAGGGGATTCGTTTTTTAAAATTCTAAATTATTTTAATAATAATAATAATCATTCGTTTAAATGTGTAGGTTAAGCAACGAAATGCAGGGAATTCATCGTATTCTACATTTGATGTCGTTCTTGTTTGATTCAAACATAAGTAAATTACTGAATTACGTATTTGCATCATCATGAGTCCCGTGCCAGGACGAAACGGCCGTCCAGTGTTTCCAGGATTCTCAATGGTTCATTCATGATTCATTCATGAATTCAATGAGTAACTTAATCTCCACAACCTCATTATGCAATTTCAAATGAACTCAGCATTGGATGAATTGTTTTTAATAGAAAATAATGATATATTTACAAATGTAGATTTCTAAGGTTTGATGGTTCCATGTAAATTGCTTTGTCAAAGAATAAATAAATGATTATATCAAATTAACATAAATGTAGAGTGTATAAGGGAAGCAAAAGAGAAAATGTTTTTTTTTCTATCATTAGAATCAATACAAGTTCAATTATAGTAATGTTATGTCGTTCCGGTCAAGGCAGTTCTGTATGAGACCTCTATATCTGTGTGTGTTGATAAATGTAGAAAATGTAATATTTATAGTATGGGGTAGTAGGGTTCAAGTAATTTGTAGTATGTTCATTAGTGTCCGTTTAATTTGGTCATATATTGATTCTCTAAAGAAGCTGCGATACATTAGAAATTCAGTTTTCTTTTTTTATTAAAAATGTATCATTATTTTTATTATTGAGTTACACACATTTTTTTTCTGCGCTACACTTACTTACTTACGCCTATTACTCCCAATGGAGCATAGGCCGCCCACCAGTTTTCTCCAACCAACTCTGTCCTGGGCTTCCCTTTCCAGTTATGTCCAATGTTTGTTCATTCCTCTCATATCTTTCTCTATTTCTCGGCGTAATCTATTCTTTGGCCTTCCTCTTTTCCTTTTGCCTTGAGGGTTCCATGTGAGGGATTGTCTTGTGACGCAGTTAGGTGCTTTTCGTAGTGTATGTCCTATTCACTTCCACCGCTTCTTCCTGATTTCCTCCTCCACTGGAATCTGACTTGTTCTCTCCCACAGTTCGTTGTTGCTGATGGTGTCTGGCCAACGAATACGAAGTATTTTGCGTAGACAGCTGTTAATAAACACTTGTATCTTCTGAATGATGGCTTTGGTAGTTCTCCATGTTTCCGCTCCATACATTAGAACTGTCTTGACATTTGTATTGAAAATCCTTATTTTGGTGTTGATTGATATCTGTTTGGAGTTCCAGATATTTTTCAACTGTAGAAATGCAGCCCTTGCTTTGCCAATCCGTGCCCTCACATCTGCATCCGATCCACCTTTCTCGTCGATGATGCTGCCCAGATATGTAAAGGTGTTAACTCCCTCCAAGGCATCTCCATCAAGAGTGATTTGATTGGTGCATGTTGTGTTGCATCGGAGAATTTTGCTTTTGCCTTTATGTATGTTGAGACCTACTGCTGCAGAGGCTGCTGCTACACTGGTCGTCTTCTCTTGCATTTGTTGTTGCGTGTGCGATAGAAGAGCCAGATCATCTGCGAAGTCCAGATCGTCCAGCTGCGTCCTAACTGTCCAGTTGATACCGTGCTTCCCTCCAGCTGTTGACGTTTTCATAATCCAGTCGATGACCAGGAGAAAGAGAAAGGGTGAGAGTAAGCAACCTTGCCTGACACCGGTCTTCACCTCGCAAGAGTCTGTTAGCTGTCCTTCGTGTACGATTTTGCAGTTGAATCCATTATGAGAATTCCGTATTTTCTGGTTAGCGTTTTTTTGGCAAGTTAGTTTTCGACGGAATGGGGTCGCCAACCCCATGTCCAACCCTCCTCCTTTACTCGGGCTTGGGACCGGCAGTAGCCCCGAAGGTTCTACTGGCGGAGTTTGTGCTACACTGCCACATTGAAATTTCATGAGACAACTTTTCAGTATGTTAGGTACAACAATCGATCCAGCCTGTGACCAGCTGACAAAATCCTCTGTAGAAGGTTATTAGAAATATATTACTTTTGTTATTACAATGAAATCATAAGTCTAACTATTCGTTGCTGAGTTTTAATAACTTCAATTGATTAATGAATATGCATTTCTTTCATTATTTCCCATTTGTTTTATATTTCTCTAAATAGGGATCATGGTTTAGAAGTATGTATTGTGGATCGTCATAATTACTCAGTAGATTCTGTTAATTGGGCAGATGTTGTTTTTACTGCTGGTGGTGATGGAACATTTCTTCTTGGTGCCAGTAAAATTCTACATCCTAATAAACCAATAATCGGTTTTAACACTGATCCTTCATTGTAAGTTGTTCAAAAACACTGATGATAAATAATCGAACTTACTTACTAGACATTAAAAGCAGATCGTTAAATTGTACTTTAGTTTCGGGATTTGTTGTGATTAGAGTTTTTTAACTTTCACCTATGATTGTTGTCAGTTTAGGACTTATTGTTGTTACTTAGTACTAAACAAGATTTCCGTTTCTAAAAGCCACTTTAATGTCATTTGAACTCAGTCAGTAGAGCCTAGCACAAATGTTCATTAATCCACGTTTTTTTATAACACATTATTAGGACGACAGTTAACAAGGGAGTGCAAAATTTTGTAACTCACTCTCTTTTGAGTTACATATTTTGTATAAGGATTATTAATACTATCAACTTTATCAAAGTAAATCAAGTTGAGTTTATATCTTTTAACTTAATAGTTTGAAATGAGATGAGTAATCTGTAACATGATATCAAATATTATTTATTGCTAATCTAAACGATTAGTGCTATCGAACATATCTTCCATTATTTATCGATCTATTTTTAGAAATAAATGTTTACGAAACGTTAGTCGACATAGCAATCTGATACTTACTAGAGTTATATGTATATTTATTATTTTTTGTTCATCTAGCTCTCATGGATTCTTGTGTTTACCGAAATGGTGTAGTTCTAATGTTTCAACAACTGTTGATCTTCTCTTGTCAAAACGTTTTCAGTAAGTCCAATGATATATTTTGCACCTATCAAATGTAATTTTTTATTCTTTGTATTCTGATAGTAATTTATCGTAATATTTTAATTTTGATCGGCGGTAGAAAAATTTTTGACTGGTTAAACATTCCAAATGGAATGGAGAAACAATACATTTTTTCTAGTTTTTTATTTGATTTGAATTTAGTTCAAGTCAATCAATGCGAGTGTTAAACAATTTAAAAGTCTGGTTGAAATTGTATTCTATGCACTGAGCTTTCATTTGCATGCATAAGCTTTCAATTTCAACAAAACCGTTCTCCTGTTACTAACAATCTTTACCATCTGAATGTTTTGAACGTTTTATGTTGTTGTTGTAGTAGTAGTAGTGTTAATCCTGACATATCTACTTCCTATCCAATCTAGACTACTCATAGCTCTCGGAAAAGTTAAAACATATTCGTTGTTTCGAATATGACATTACATCACATAGTAAAATGACTTCTGGTGGATTTTGTGAATAAAAGAGGACGTTTTCGAAAAAAAAATCTCTGTAAATAAATGACGTTGAAAAAAACAGGTAAATCCATATTTTTCTTTATTTGTTCCCTTGCGAAAACCGTTGATAGAAGTATCTAGATAATTGAAATATGACGATCACTTAATGTTGGAATTGTTCAGATTTTTTTATGTTGATACTTTTCGGAACTGTGCGACCTGTCCTATCCCAAATTTGGTAGCTTTGTTGTTGAATACTCAATGGTATGTGAAAATCTCACTGGATTTGTGGTTATACAATTTTTAGTTGGGTGTAGAACTGATGAGGTCCTAATACCTATTTCTGCCAGTTACGTATGTTAACTATTTGAATAATTGACATAAATCAATCACCCGTAATACACGTAAGATCTGGGACAAATATCGACCAATGAATTTAACTAATGTCATATACACTAGGTAAGTGAAACTGATTTGCACTTGTTTACTACAAGAGAGTTTCGATCCTTCATTCTATAACTTCAGGTCCCAAACTCTACCCGATAATATATAAGTCAATTTTAATTAAATATCAGAATACCATCTTTAAAAAACATCTGAAATCAACCCATCAAATCTTGGGATTCATACAAAAAATCTCTCTGAAGTATTGTACAAACCTACTGAGAGTGAAGGCATGACTTGTGTAGAATTATGCCAACAATCCCCAACTAGCATGAAAGCTAGATCTAAGATTCTCTACCAAGTACTTCTAATCACCTAACATCTCAACATTGTGGATGTGATGTCCAATCATTCAGACTGAGGGCCCACAATGCAACTGTGTCTATTAAATGCGATCAGGATTTTAAATGACTAAACAAACTTAACCAAACAATAGTAAAATTATACAAAACAGTATGTTCATTTAGTGTTTGGCGAAAAAAGAACAGATAAATCGCAGATAATAGAGATGACTGTCTTTTCAATGCAGTGCAGAGGTGAAATTCAACTAAATTTAGTATAAACTGCGAAAATTAATTTTTACAATTTTTTATATTTAGTGGTCAACTTTACTTATCGCATATATATTTAGCCAATTTAAAATATGTATCAGTATACCGAACTATTTTCCTATCGATTTTTCGGCACACTAAAGATTCCCATTGTGAATATTAGAACAATACATATTAGCGAATAGTATTGTTTTAATCGAAATCGTCATCAGGCTTTACTCTAGTATACATGAATGTCTATATGAAAATGTTAAACCAATCAAAGCAATGTACCAATCAATAATCATAATGCAGCAGGTTACGTAGGTGGTGGTAAGAATGATTAAAATGCAATAACAGAAGTTTTTGCTAATAGTTTATCATTGTAAGTAGTAAGTCAAACTTGGAATGATCACAAAGCTCTACTAAAATTACGTAATAAGAAGTGTGTCGACAATTATATAGTAAAAAATATTAACGGAAAGGGGCGAAAAAATGACGAACAAGTACAAAATATGAAAGCAATACTGGCACTGGTAGGCTATATCCAGTCAATGAAGAGGCAGGAGTGTCATAAATTTCTTCTGAACGCATAAATTGGGGTTAAATGCTCAAATTCCCTTGGTTTTCGCTATATGTAGATGGCGTCGAACTCCATTGGGAAATGATGGAAATATACAATAAATCACTCTAAATGATTTGTTTTTATATTATGACCACTATAAATCAAATGTGCCTGGATAGCGCTGTATATTGCTTTTATCTGGCCCTTTCTAAACCATGTTGGGAGATGTCAACTCATTCTGTGGTTACGTTGCCTTGTAGTACATCCAATATAACTATCTCCAAAATGGCAGCTGAATATGTAAATGCACATTAAGCAGGCCAATTCAGATGACTTATCCTTCGTTTAAGTAGATACCAATCGTCATCTCGAGAAAGCCAACGCAAGATAGTTTGTGTAGAATGTTCTACTAATTGCCTTCACTAATCTATCATGCAAGACATCGCTAGCCGCATCCGCCGCTGAATTGGAGTTTTACTAATAGAGGTTTCTTTCGAATGTTCTGCGTTCTTGACTCGTCTCATTTTGTATATGTGTTTCTTTAAGAACTCAATGGAGTAACTGATCTCGGTCAGCTCCTTCCTTGAGGCAGATTAGTTTTGCTGTGCTTGTGAAACATCTAACCAAATTTTTTTTAGCGGTTTGGTGTGAAGCTACAAAATTGTGTATCGTCAAGCAGAGAGGCTCTTACTGTACATGCTTTGAGTTAACGAGCTGTAGCCGTTTTATCAGTCGCGTGCAAGTTGGATGTGTTGAACCTTAGCCACATTCGAAATGACCCTGAGAAACTAATCAGAATACGGGTGACACAAAGGAGTAATTTGTTGGATGAAATATATAGGAAGTTTAGATCTAGGGCCGTAGATTAGTTCCTGAAGTTTAGGATTTTGAATTGGGTTCATGATTTGGGATTACTGTGAGGACTGTCGGCTAAGAATTAGAGTGAAGAATACTCTGCAACCATTTGAATTAATACATATGTAAATTTTTTTGGACAATAATATACAAAACCTTTAAATTACCTCCTAACAATCATTTATCACAATACCTATATTTAACTCTTCTTATTTTATCAATTTTAAGCGTTTTAATAATTAAATATTTGTGAGTTTTGCTGAGGTTTAAATGAGATGCAAACGGTCTGTCATCACGTTTTAGATTTCGCACAAAATTCCCATCGCCTCTATTTGAATTGGTTTGTCAGTAAAGTAAATTTTTACCGAAAAATAATTGACTAAGAATAATTATTTCATGCATAACATAAATATTTTTCGCATTTGAAGCTACAACTCAGTAATTTAATTGACTTGAGTTCTACTACTTGTGTTTTGAAATCGATTCTCACTTCACTTTCCAAAGTTGATTGATTTGTTAACCTCCTGTAAGGTAAATATTACTTATAGTTTACTTTCTCCTTGGACTCCTAAATCGTGTAATCAAATTTAAAAGGTTTGGTCTATAGAATGTGTCAGTCTGCGTGATTATAGATACACCACGTGCTTGTACCCATATGCCATCTCAAAGCCAAACAGTCGGTGAGAGACTTTAAACGACATAACTCCATGGAACTGTTATAGCTTCCCAGTAATTTCTAAATTCTCTTACTTGCACAACTTCTTGGACAAACATGTAGGGAATGGATCTATCGAAACCACTCTCGACGGAACATCATACCATTGTGTCAGTTTGATCTTGGGTTTTATTAACTAAGAATATCTTACAGATACATACTCTGTTTAACGAAATTCGATTAAATTGCTGATGCTTTAAAATTGTCACAGTTCTAATTATCCTCTAATCATCAAGTTCTAAGCTCACTCACATAAATTTTAATGTGTTCCTGGTATCTACACACAGAATAAACAGAAGTGTGCTAAACAATTATTTGCTCTGTTCTCCCTGAAAAGCAGTGTCATCCAAGGGAAAAAATCTGCAAATAATAACAAGTTACATGGGTAATTGTTACTAACATTGAAACTTTTTTGAAATAGGGCATCAATTATCAAACTAAGTGCAAGATAAATGGTCAAACGTTTTTTTTTACAATTCCAAATTTGACTTATCAATTTTGTTATTGTGCTGTCACAGCTAAACTAACTAATTTAACCTTCAGATGGCTTTGGCGTCAGCGTATACGTGTCACCGTAACTCATGCAAAAAATGAACAGTTGATAATGCAACCTTTAGATAAAAATAAACCAATTCACCAAAACAGTCACGAAATGAAATCGTCAAATGATCTACTACTGGATTTGTCATCCAGTCAGCTATTTCCAAATTCGTGTTGTCCAAATGAAATGAAGACAACAATACTTCCTGTATTTGCTTTAAATGAAGTATTTGTTGGAGCTGCTTTAAATGCCTGGTTAGTTAGTCATTTGTCCTTTTTCCAATCTATTTTGAATTCGTTTCTTGTAACACATGTACAATTATTTTTTTTCTTGTGTGCATTGTTTTATGACATAAAACTGTTTGTTCGTAAAGAGTTATAATCTGTATGAATTAGGAATTGAAATAATCGCTCAGTTGGTTTCAGATTTAAACCTTTCTACAGCCACGACGATTCAGGTGAGCGAATATTTACGATGAAATACTTTGTAAAATTCTCTGCCCATGTTGAAGGTATGGATATTAAGCATTGGAATGATTGTATTGTTGTATATGTCTGTAGTGCCTAGAAAAGTCATATTTTCTCTAGAAAATAAGTTTAAATGAAGGATGTTGGTAGATATTTAATTTGATTTCAATTGTTATTGAGTTATCGATAAACAAGGTTTAACTTATCATTTCTCTCTTATTTCTGTTTATTGATGTAAGAAGTATTCACATCATTTGTTGTACTAGGAATGCATATTTCAGAACAATAACCAACAAATCAATAGATGAAGCATTGAAACTTCATGAGTTGAGGTGGTTGGGACATGTGTTGCGTATGCCTAACCACCGACTGCCTCGACGAGCTTTGTTTTGTAGTGTAGGAGTAGGTTGGAAGAAAGTTAGGGGCGGCCAGACCAAAACATGGCAGAAGTCCATGAAGTCATTGACGAGTGGACTGAGTCATGTCGGTAATTGTCGACTACCTGGTTGGGGTCCGCGAGATGATAATAATCGATGGCTAGAGACCTTGAATGACATGGCTCAAAATCGTTCGCAATGGCGCCGGCGCATTTATTCTTTGTGTTCTCTCAAATGCTAATCTTCTGGATTCTTCAACACCTCTAGTTTTGACTTTCTAAACTTTTCTCACTGAATCATACTTGTTGAATAAAATCTTCTAATCCTAACCTCTCCGATTACTTCTAATACCTTTACTACCTCTTCTACTATTGGATTTGAATTGACAATTGCATCTCTGTGCTGATGTGGTATGGCAGTATGAACTGATGTACTTATGCACGAAGTTCTACGTTGCATCTGACTGACTGTCTGATAATAACCAACAATTCTCATTATGATATGCATTCATTCACTAATCTCTCTCAGTTTATTTTGTTTGTGAACACGAACTTATCACAAAATTGAAGATTGAATTTGTATCGATAATCAAATCAACACAAACACATTAACAATAAGTGATCAGTCTCTTAAGTGTGCCTTTTGTATTCTAATTGATTGATTTGTTGTTAGGTCAGTTGATTTTTGATTTTTTTTTCTGCTGTAATCAAATCACCTATATATTTCATCAATTGATGAATTAATCAACCCAATACTAATCTATTATTTTGTAATAACATACATCATTGAATGCATGATAGAATGCATTTCATGTAAAATCGGAATGTTTATTATGAGGAAGATTTTAAATAGCATACATCTAAATGCATTCTGAAGTATCTGTTTAGATTGAAAAAGAAAAACAAATTTTAAAATTCAATAGGAAGTTAACACCATTAGAAAGTAATAATGATATCCTTAAAATCATGGGAAATTTGTTAATTTACGGAGAATTAATAGTTTGCGGTAGAGCAAGTTGTTACAATTTTAATAGTATAATAATAATGATAATAGCTATCTCATTTATTATTATGTATGTAACATAATATGAAATTCTCAGCACACAATATTTCAACGCATTCCTCTCACTATTCGTTGATATTTCAGTATACACATGTATCAGATAAAATTTCTTTATGAAGGAATTATTTTCGGTACTGAATGAGTTTAAACTTTTTGGAACAAGTTTTTTTTACAACCCCCCTTATATGTACAGGAACAGTTTGTTATTACCTTGAATTTACCCTTGAAGCCATTTTATGGCCTACCCTTTCTTATTCCTTCTATATCACGTTAGTTTTCCCTCGCCTTCATTTACAATTATCACTTTATGTCTATTTCAACTGTATTTAATTGACCTTTCATATAAAATGCCTTGACAAGTATGTGTGACCAGATTGTTCGTAATATAAAGCACGAATGCATCACATTTTTCAGATTAGTCACTTCTCACTGTTCTATTAAAAATTCATGAGTTTTTTTGGCGAAATCAGCTATTACAACAAAAAATCGCATTGTATATCTGCTAAATACGATATTGTAGGTCTCATGTGTTGTTACGGGTATGAGGGTGCATATCGCTTTCCGGCTTCCCACACCCTGGAAGTATGTTCCTTGAGGAAGTTGTATTATTTTTGGGTTTAGAAGGGGATAACTGCTTGAAACTGGTCTCGCACGATCTTTTTAAGAAGTTTTTAAAGTGTTAGCTCCGCTCTTCAAAAGACCTCACGGTTAGAGACAAAAATCAGTGAGGTAGGGTGAGGTGTGACATTTTTAGGATCGACCTTTCTAACCCCTTCCTTCTTTGTGAGAAGGAAGCATCGTTGCAGATGCTGGTTGTCCGAGGGAAACACCTTATTACTGTCACACTTCTCTACAGTCAGCAGTACGACTTAGACCTTGAGTTGCTTCTTCTAGTCCCGTCGTTCTCCAGTTGTTCTACCTGACATGGTAGAACCTACAGGAACATATTTTCGAGCCAATATAGCTCGGTTGGGTCATCAGGACAGGCAAGTATGGCCACCACGTCAAGGTAGCAGCTACGGTCGGGGGTATTATAGAGCTTTCATACTATCCTTTACGTTTTCATGAATTTGTATCTTATTTTGTCTAAAAATATATGATGAGGAAGTGTGGATAGAGTTAATAGTTTACTTCCGTTAAAGTAAGACTTGTCAGTTGTTCGCAAAATATCATATTCTTGTTCACAAATATATTCAAAATAATGTTGCAACATATACTACTTACTCCTACGAATATCCTTGAATACTCTGCGAAATCTAATGAAATTTATTATCAAAAGATTTAAAAAAATTACTACAAAACAGTGTAGGATTATTGGTATTATATAAAAGTTTACAAATCGTAAATGTAGATGTCTAACTCTTTGGTTAACATAAACTTATAGCGTAGATGAAAGAAAGTGACCGATTTCCAAGATTGATTAAGGTCACTTTTATCGCATTTTACTTAACGAAGATACCTGTTCTGTTATGACTAGTAATGGGTTTACTTTGGTGAAAGATTTTGAATATGTATTGCTCGTGAAATTTCTCTGAGCCGATCAAACAGCGGATTCATACTCACAGGTTTTTTTCGTGATATATTTCGTCAATGTAACAAATAGCTGTTCATTATTGAATATCATATATTCACTAATTTTCGAAATGAAGTAGGCAATACTGATCGCAGTTGATATTAGTCGCGAAATATGAATTGTATACTAATGGATATCAACTCAGTAGTCTAAAGATGGCACGCTCACCTAGGCGCCTAATTATCATTCGATTCTCAGTTTTGTTGCGAGTATTTATTATTTTGTACATTTTCAAATTATCACCAACCAGGTATTGTTCGCAATGTCTTATAATTTTTCAAAGGTTTGTTGGCTGAAATCATCCATCGACGTAGACTATTTTTTTTCCTATCACATCTACCAACAAATATTTATTACTTACCGTTTTTTTGTTTTTGGTTTTAGTGTCTCCGTTTATGACATTTCAGTTGATTCTGAGAAAACTATTGAAAAACAAAAATCAAGTGGTGTAATCATTTCAACTGGTACTGGTTCAACTTCATGGTCTTATCAAATTAATAAATTGACAAAATCAAATATTAGAAAATTATTTGATATCATTCAACGAATAGATCCAATGATTCTATCGAATTCTGTATTCAATCATCATACATCAACATGTTCAAATGAAAATACCAATAATATTGCTGCTGAATTGAACTGTTTGATGGAAACAATTGCAGCATTCTATAATAAAACGTTTATTTTCAATCCAGAAGATTGTAAAATGATGTATACAGTTCTAGATCCATTAGATAATGGTAAGTTGTTTATGGATTTTATTTTATTTTCACAAGTAGTAAATTTTCCAATGAGTAACTTTTTCACACAGTAAATGTTTGTTGATTGTTTGCCAGTTGTAAGTAAGAAAAATGTGCTTTCCTATTTGAAATTCATCTAGTTCAAATTCGAATCTTTAGTGCACAAAGAGTAAATTTTGATGTAGTTAGTGTGATACACATAAAAACCGGATAAAATGACTACTGGATTGTAGAGATATACTACTAGTGAAAAATTATTCACGCATTAATTCAATGTCATTATGAGCATAAATAGTTTTTTTTTTTAAAAAATAATAGTTATTTTTCCATGATATCAGGATAAAAAATAATTAATGTGTCGGTCATACCAGACGTGATATCTGCTTTCATACAGCTCTTCCATAGAAACGATCAGCATACGTAACACAGAATGAAAATGCCATACAAATAAATAATACGTATCAAAGACTTTCTCTCTGTTCCTCATTGTCTATGACTTGAACAATTGTCAATCAATGTACTTAACAATTACGTTATCTGTCTATCAAGCTTTCACTCAGTCAATTATCAGTTGTAAACAACTTAAATCCTGTCACAGAGATGCACGTTTATTCGGGTCATTATATTATATTATATTATATTAGCACGACTTGATGAAATGAACATAAATATTAGCCAAGGAGTCGAAATGATTGCAGTAGTAATGGTAATTGGAATGAATGAAAATGAATAATATGGTTCGAAAACACAAGATGAAAGGGAATGTGTGAAGGGCTACTGAAACTAAAGACTTAAAGTAAGATGAAGAGTAAATGTGTCTTCACTTTAGTGACCTATCTTGAATCTTGTTCACCGATTTCGGTGATAGAGTAAACTTCGGCAAAGTAATCCACATCTACTAACATGGCCATAACCAAAGCTACTACCTGTAGTTTGTTTCATGATGCGCGAAAAAAACATGAAAGAATCAATTTTCATATTACCTACAAAACAAATGTTTTAATTCATTAACGATTGTTTTATTGTATACTGATTAAAACCAGACATATTTTGGTAAATATCTATTCTATTCAATAGTAAATTAACCAACTTATTAATTCATTAACTGTATAGTTTATTATTGAATTGTATTTGACAATTTAGTTGTTTTAATTGTTTATAAATATCAGTTATATGAAGTTTAATGTAGTCGGGATGAAAAAAATTAAGATGGAACAAAAGTGGAATTATTCATTACCAAAACATGACACAAACTGTCATCAAATCATTGTGACTATTGTTTTTATTTCATGTATTATGAATTATCAGGATAGTTTATTCAAGACGAGCGTTTTTTTTTTGAGAAACTTAAACTCCAAAAATAAGTTTAGAGATAACGCAATAAACTCTATCGAAATCGGTTATTGACGTTTGTTCAGTTATCGGATTCATCAACACATTTGCTTTTTGTGGAATAGTGGAACATTGGTTCAATGCACGCTACTCATTTACTAGTTTCCTGGTTCAGATTTTAAGTAACTGGTTTTACTTTAAGTAATCGAGTGGTAGTATTCTTGGCGTGGACCTCAAAATCTTACTGTGGCTCAAAGCTACTGATCCCGTAATCGGATATTGAGTTTTGGATTCGTTGTAATTATGTTCATGAAGATTAATTCCCTAGTGTGCAGTCACCAATGTTATACTTGTCCCAGGCATTTTAGATACTGATCAAACTATATCGCTCTAATTGCAGTATGCCCACTGCTGGTCAATTCATTCATTGTTTTAACGTTAGGTGCTTCAAAGTGTTCTTCGCGAGACCTTGGATCACGGTTTCCTACCAGTTTACTACTCGTTACCAAGGGAATCTATCACACCTGTAGGATTCGATCGCACATTACCCAGCTTTTCAGTTTGATAAGTTTTCACTAAGTTATTCGAGTGACAGCAGCAACGTTCCAAACTTCCATGCTGAGTGACATGGGTTCGGATCTCACAAGTCAGCATCAGTTCATCCACGATTCCAGATACACTAACTAATGTGGCGAGTACCAACTAACACGAGACGTAATTCTGTAGTTTCTTGTTGACAACCTCTAACCATCTAACATATTTAATAACCGTGTAATTCTTATTACTACCTCATATGAATTCTTTTTCATGCATCAAAATGAAATGGAACTACATATTTCTAATATTTAGTGTTCTTGAGTTTTTATTTTCTACCAGACAATCTTAATAATATCCTGTACCTCGAATATTTAAATCACAGCTATCAAATTATACATTTAATCTATTGTATGAATGTTAATTAATTATATAATTATCATTGTTTATTGTTCGTATAATTTCATTTTCATCTGAATAAGATATTTATTCAAATACTAAATTTTTCAATGTTTTTGCTTTTAAATTTAGATTTATTCAAAGTTCATAAACGTCATGGTTTCGCTACAGAGTAAGTTCATTTCTAGTATACATATTATGAGACAATGTAAATAAATGCATATATATATATATATATATATATATATATATGTGGTGCGCGCTACTTATAAGTAGTATATGACGCGAGTGTAAACGTAATGTCTGGCAGCAGAAGATGGGGTAAGATCAAGAAAGGAAGAGTGGGAACACAATGGAACATGTATGAAACGCATGAATAGTAAACTGTCAGACAATGGATTGATGATGGATTGAAGATTTGCAAATTAACGGTTACGCTATGGTTTTCCAATTTTACTGAGTAACTCTGTAATTTTCGTTAAATACAATTCGGTTGCCCTCACCTGTGTTCTCCTTTACTACATATATATATATATATATATATATATACATTGATTCATAATCACGTTTTGAATAAACTATGATTCAACAATATTTATCAATGAAGGAGCACTTACGCATCATTTAAGAACATTTTACACAAATATTGTCAAGTTTCAATTATTGCTTTCCTGAATCATATAACTAAGTACATAGCTCAGAAGAAGCAGATTATTAATTCTGTTTGAAATAGTAACAATAATACAAAGAGAATTAAATCAAAGCAACACTAAAAATAACATTTGGATAAGCTTAATTTAAAGTTCTTCATCAATCATATCTCATAAAACTCAAAGATTTCTATACATTTATTATACTTGAGGGTGCGTCACAAATTAGAAATTCTAATTTGTGTACATAACTAAGTTATAAGTGATACCAACTACACATCACATTCGATCATTAATTATTGATAATCATCTTTGTTTTGTTTTTTTTAAATTTCCAATCAGATTGTATATTCGATCGCTTATGGATGAAGGTCATTTGGCATTTGACAGTGGTATTACATTTCCTTTCAAATCAGGATCCATTGCAAAATTTACAATCCTTCCCTCGGACGCATTATGCTGCGTTAAATTAAATGTTCCTTGTTAAAAGTGAACTAATTCCTGCCTCAAATAGTTTTTTTTTCTTTTTTTTTTTAAACTCAATATTCTTTTGTTATTTATTTTAAAACGCAGCTTATCATTGAGAATCTGTAAAGCATATCTTTTCTTTTTGTATTATTATTTACTTATTTACCAAAATATGAAATGCCATATATTGTAGTCAGTCTGTATAGTTTTAGTTTTATTCTTTTTTCTTGGTTAAATTCATGCATGTGATCCTAATAATGATCATTCTTCTTCTTCTTTATTGTCCTTGTAAATGATACACAGCTGTCGTGTTTTATGCTCAGGTTTTAACGTGCTCAATTGATCATCCTTATTTTTATGCATAAATCATCATATTATAAGTACATTTTGTAAATGAACTATTTTGAAAAAAAAATCTTTATTCTTGTTCTACCTTTTTTCCACTAATATTTTTTAAAGCATCAATTTAGTTTCAGCTATTTTCCATTTAAACAATTTGTGTAATCAAGTTCGCAGTGACATCTGTTTTTGAGTTTTTATTGTTCATCCTTTATTATTACATCTAGTGATATGTGTTGATGCGCTATTCCAGTTCTTCCAGTCCAGGATTCTTCATATCTTTAACATTCTTTGTTAAAAGTTATTATTCATTTCTTTTTAAATTTTTATAACAGAAGTCTAATTATTAGTGAGCGTTCAGCAAATACCATATTGACACTGATTCTTTGTATATATTTTCGAAAAAGTATCTTTACCAATTATAACAGCTTTTTTATAACGAGCCGTTAACCGATTATAAATCTCGATATTTGTCCACCCGACTTCCACTGTTATGGACTCTTTTGATGATCATATTAGTTAAGTAACAATAGATCAATTGTTATGACATTTAGTGCGAAACATGCATACTGATAGAGTAATATTGATTATATCAAGGTTTGTAATGATGAAATAAAGTTAGACTTAGATTTCATGCTTTATTCTGTGTACTTATTCAGTTGCGTCTAACTAAAGTAATTTTTGGACATAGCTACTCATCATTTTACCTGGTTGTAAGCTACCAGCCAAACACAGTATGTGACTTCTCATCAGTAGCCAGACCAAAAGTGTGGATCGCAGGACTATGTATAAGATCACCAGAGGTTAATCATGATAGGCTTCAAATACTAATGGCTAAAATCTTTCAGCAAACTAGTCCTTTGGTGCTTCATGTAGACTTCCATATTGCAACCATAATTACTAACCATCAACCCCACTCCCCCAATAAATTTCAAAGAGTTTGGAATCGCTTAATGTCGTAACCTATCTGAACACCGACAACTGACCACCATGTAACAAGAGATTGAGGTCTCCTCGTAATTGCAAAGAGGTTGGTACTTTGATGAGCATCAAAGGCTTTGACCTTGTAGGATCTGGTCTTATGATTAACTTACTTACGCCTGTTATCTCCAGTGGAGCAGAGGCCACCGACCAACATTCTACAACCTACTCTGTCTTCGGCTTTCGTCTCCAGTTCTGTCCAACTTTTGTTCATCCCTCTCATGTCTATCTTCATTTCTCGGTGTAAAGTGTTATGTGGACTTTCGTTCGACCTTGATAACTCCAGGTGGGGGCTTGTCTTGTGACTCAGCTGCTTTCCTCACTGTGTGTCCTATCTATTCCCAGTGTTTTTTCCTTCTACTGTAGTGTTTGGCCAACGGATCCGAAGTATTTTGCCTACGCAACTGTTAACAAACACTTGTATTTTCTGGAGAATAAACTAATTAGAAGTTGACCAAATGTATTTCGATTTACAAAATGAGCATAGTTTTTAATAGCCACTCAAGGAAAGCCATTTTATGTTCAATGATCCAACACAATTGTGTGGGCTGTCTAGAAACACGCTTACACAGGTAATCATCAGATGAGGTCAGTATGAATGAGCATTTTAAGCGTGTTTATGTTAGCAGACATACGATTCGAGCCAAGAGATGCAATAAGGTCACTAAAAACGTCTTGCGGAAGTGTATATGGTCGAATGCTGGCTATTCTGATCAAATACTGTAGTTCTACTTAGCCAAACATCATTACTAAAATATTAAATCTTTTCTCTAAATCAGGCACTTTCCCTATGCAATGAGAAACTACATACATTATCCCAGCTATTTAAAAAAGGAACCAAATTGAATGCAATCAATTAGTGCCCAATTATTCACACTTTCATCTTGTCTAGAACAATGTAGAAACGTCATAAAATGGCAATCCACAATCACTGAAGTAAGGATCGACTAATTACATAGTCGGAACATGGATTCATTGTTAAAACATCATACGAAACCTGTCATCTAGAATATTTTGTATGTATAAGGACAATAGGGTTAAAGAGAAACTAAATGTCACTATAAAATTTGATTTCAGCATAGCGTTTGGTAAGGTACAAAACTTTTCACTATCTAAATTAGAGGCATTCGGGAAAACAGTTAAGTTTTGTTACTGCATTTAATCTTTATTGAAAAACAGCTTAGATGATGAAAATAGGGCAATGCTGTTCCCATTCTCTGGATATCACTAGTAGAGTCCTTAGGGTCTCGGTCGCTGGAACTCTATTGTTCATTATGCATATTAATGACAGAAACTTGCGTTACACATGTCAAAGGCTTTCTATTTACTGACGACCTTAAAGTGGTGAATTCATCCCACCTAAGTATTGGTATAAATAACAGCAATATAATATGGCAGGATCAGTAAAATCTCATATACTGGCATAATTGACCGTTACTCCTTCTTAAGAGTTTTTTTGTCAGTAATGATTTTTTTGTCTGGGATATGTTTAACCTCTATTAAAGTTATATTCAGTTGCATGTGCTTCCCAAACCGACAGAAAAAAGAGACAGCACGGCGTGGCCTTACGAAACTTCTTGCTTTTAACTTACCTTATTGAGACAAATATAAACAAAATTCAAACTGGATCCCTCACGGTTTATGCGAATTAAACTTATCCCCACCTTACATTTCAAAATTATCCATAAGAAAGTGATAGTTATGACCTTCGAAATCAGAATTTTGTACTAAAGGCATTCAGCAAATCAAAGTCATCTTTCTTTGATGATCTACGAGAACATCCGGTCATGTCAAAATTCCATCCAAATCAGATCATTAGTTTCATATGTCTTTGGTGCAGCCCACCTAAATAAAAATTCATTGGAGCTTCTGACAAATAAACGTCTGTCACTTCGTGGTCATATCACTAACCACAAATTACTTTACTCTCTAACAGACTCTGGGGCTCTCATCATACTTTTCTTTCAGTCTCATAACTGTTGATTAGACAGATGTCTGTTTTATGTACAGATGCGGCCTAAACTGTTGGTGTCCAACGTATGAGAGTTTCAAATCACCACACATCATGACTCAAAGAAATTTAACTGAATCAGCAGTTATTAGGATGGAAAACGGGAAAAATTAAGAAAGTATCCATAAGAAGCTTTATCAATTTCAACAATGAGGTCTCTAAATGAACTGGTACAGTCGGGACTATAGAGAGTTTGCTCTCTCCTTCTAACTTTACCTTCATGAGCATATGTTGATAGCCATAGCTGGGAAGTCATTTCGCCGTTTTCTACTGATGGATGCAGTTTTCATCAAATTGAATGGACGAAAAATGAATGTCCAGCGCTTAAGCATTGCTGATGAATACGGAAGACTCGTCCGTGAGAGTTGTAATAGACTGATTTAAAACTAATCGCACTTATTGGCTTTACGATTCTGAAGGAACAAATGGCATAGTAACTTATTATTGATCACCTGATACCATGGGACTACATGTTTTAACGTTTGTTCACTGCTTTATGTATTAGAATTTTAGGTCGGTGGCCCGTAAAGTAGCCTTCGCTTTAGTATAGGCACTCGGGAATCACCTTAGCCCATACACGAAGTTTTACGGTCATATTTATCGACTATCTACCATCGATAGTGAAGGTTATGATTTCAGTTAGCTGGTGTTAGTGAGGTAAACCATTTTGGGTATCTCTAGCTCTTTAAGGTTAATGACGAGGCACTAATGTTCTTCTTTTATGTTTAGTTCAAACTAGCTTCGTGTTTTCTATTAGAATGTTGATTGAGCTATCCCACCAAGTCGTCCTATATCTTGCAATTTTAGACACTTAGACACAATTTTAACAGTTGGCGTTCAATAGAAACAGAAACAAATGACAATCAACAAAAATTCCAATTCGACAAATTCACTTCAGGGTCCAAACACTACATTTCCAATGTTTTTCGGAAATTGTTATGTGTGTATCACAATTTAAGCTTCAACTTATCATCTATCACCTTAGGTCTGTTTCTCTGTTACGATTTGCCACATACTGCATATTGATCCTATGATTAATCTGACCTTTCCCACTTGATAATAAAGTTCTTGGGTCATTATTTATTATAAATCCTACTTACACTTGTTTTAGTAAGCTAGCAGAAGAAACAAAAGAATAACTTCTGAGTAGCGGAATCGCAACTGGATTTTTCAGTGTTTGCATGGTTTCTACAGAGATTTTTAGAATTTTCAGAATGGCTTGACTACCGATACTGGTGATTTGAACAGACAATATTACAGCTACTGAAATGTTTAATAAAAATGAAGCCGGCAGGATAATAAACCGAACTCATCTGTTTTATTACAAACTATCAGTAAACTTATTGACTGCTTTTTTAAATCCCACCGTTTGTGTTAATCACACTGTCAGTTGTCAGTTGTAACACATCTTGCAACGGACCTTTTATTTTCGGGTTTCTGGAGAAAAAATTTCCAAGAGCCTGTAGTGGTATAATTTTACGAAGAAAACACAATTGCTGAAATATAAACATTTATTATTGTACTTGATTCTGACAATAATTGTTATATTGTACACCTCTTGTTTATCTATACTAAAGAATATCTCTCGCGCTCCAAGCGTTTCATTGCCTTTCGGCCTTCTCTCCTCGCTTGTTGTTATCCGCTCGAGTACCCCAGTCTCGTGAATATTTCGATATCACCAGGCTAGCATTAAATATACGTCTTCCTCTAGAATCGTCTTTTATCTGATCGCTAGAGTAACGGGACCAACATTTGATATTCCGCGAAGTGTAATGTTTAATAGGTACTACCACAAGCCAAACAGAAACAAGATGAAACAGAAATGTTCAAGCTCGGAGTTGCAAACAAATAAAATTCAAAGTTTAATTATGGCAGATACATCTAGAAACCAATAAAGATTATGATATTCACAATAGTAGTTTATATCCATTTAGATATTTAGAGTTACCGCTGAAACACTTGTAGTGCCTCCACATATATTCCAGTTCGCTTGCATATAACTTGGTTAAGCCCTTTCGATTAATTTATTTAAACAAGCCATTCGCGTAGCAACAACTTATATGTACTCATTCGTTCTTATTATTGTCTGGTTTGTATGAGCTCACATGACGTATCATTTGACCTCGTCACTCATTCGTCACTTTGTTCATGTGTGCCTATTTCGCTTGTTGCATGTCTGTCTTATATTTGCCTGACTATTTATTCTTAGACATGCTCTATTTCTTTGAGTCGGCTCACTAGCCTTCTCCAAATCGCTTCCTTCGCATTGTAATCCTAGGAGTTCGCTCTTAGCCTTCTCCAATGCGCTTCGCCTATTCGTACGCTTCCTTCGCTCATCCTTTCGCTGCTTTTCAGCTTCGCTATATGGTGTGTCCAAAATTCAAACGTATTCATACTTCGAATTCGCCTTCTGATTTATAAACCGTCAGGCGCTCTCCGAA